GTATTACATCAGAAGATAAGATCAAGAAACGTGCAGCAGAAGAAATATTACAATAGTATAATATCAATTCCACTATAGTGAAGAACGCATTGTACGATCAAATAAATTTGTCTCACACGATCTCATTTTACTGTTAAGGCAGCTATTACTGAAAGTGACGTTTTGTCCTTCTCAACGGTCTACTTTATGGGCCTATATAAAGGATCACTATTTCATAGTAAAAAAAAACTTTGAGGAACTATCAACAAAAAGAAAAATCACTGTGCAAAAATATTCAAGAAGAAAATATTCATCCAAGAGAGATTCAAAAACACAGAGTTTTTGCTCATTTTTGTGTTAACATTTGTTCTCATCTAAACACATAGAGTTGTTGCTCATTTTTATGTTAACATTTTTTCTCATCTAAACACAAAGATTTGTTGCTCATTTTTTGTGTAAATATTTGTTCTTCATTGTAAGTATTAAATCTGCTTTTCTAGAAGCAATATTGTAAACACTTTCTATTGTAAATCAACTAAGATTTTTTTCCTCAAGTGACTAGGTGATAATCTGTATACTTGAGAGGGCTAAGGTGTTTTTATAAACTCTTAGACGTTTGTTTTTAATCTTTCAAGATTAGTGAATTATGTCCTTTTTGAAAGCAAAATCACCTTGGCGGGTGGACAAGAGCATCCTTGCTTAAGGTGAACTTGTATAAACCGATTGTATCACTTTTCTTTCTTAGTTTGTCTATCTTGATTGTTTATGTGGAATATTTCCAAAGAAAAAGTTTTTTAAAAACCTAATTCAAACCCCCATTTCTTGTGTTTTTCTCAACCTTCAAAATTGAGACTACTACAAAACGCGCAAACAACAACGCCAAAGTCACCACATTTCGCCTCAAAACCGTAGTGACACTGTTAAACTATTGCGCTAACAAAAAATTTTATTTTTTATTGAAAATTTAAGGTTATAGTTATGGTTAATTCCATAACCATGATGATACAGTCCAATTTTCCCGGGTTCGATCCTCAGCTTCCTCAAGTAATTTATCTTTTTTAAGTTAATGCACGCCTTTTCAATTATATTTATATACAATTACAAAATAATAGGGATATCACTACGGATCTTTTGTAAAATCGTTGTTACACAATGAAGATTCTTTATATATATATATATATATATATATATATATATATATATATATATATATATATATATATATTAAACACTAAGTACCCATTCTTCCAATTATAAAAGAAACAACCCTAACACCAACGTCGTCGACATAGTCTTGAAATAACCCTAACACTCATTGTTGTTGTCCAATTTTGTCTCATTGTCGCATTTGAAGAGTAACTCATCCAAAAATGTAAAATCTCGATCTAGACATTTTTGTGGTTGTGACAATCGTATGGTTTCGTACCAATGCAAGAGGGATCAAAATAAAGGAAGGCTTTTTTGGAGATGTACAAATTGATGGAGTGGTGAAACATGTAATTTATTCATATGAGATGATGAACACAAATTGGAAGATGAGAGTAGTATGATGTCAGAGTTGGAATCTGTTGGGTATTTGAAGGTTATGTATACAAAATCAAAAAAGAAGAACAAGAATTTGAAGAACAAACTGAAGTCAGAGATTTTTTGGAAATTTGAAGATGTTATGTTTTCTTATTTCCTTTATGTTTAATATTTACTTTGTTATAAAATGTAATAGTTTAATTAGGGTTTGAAATTTAAAAATGTTATGTTTTCTTATCTCCTTTATGTTTAATATTTATTTTGTTATAAAATGTAATAGTTGAAGATGCAGGGAACTTGACAAGAATATGCAACTATCAGAAGGTTTCTTACGAGTAAGTTCATCGCAATAATTTTCATTATGTGTTTTATATATTTTGTAGTTTAAGCTTATAGGTTAAGTTGAATGTTTAAGTTGATAACCTTAAGAGAGTTAAGCAGATTAAAACTTCATTACATAAGACTTTCATTACATGATCAAAAACCATAATCAAATCTAAATCCTCTCGCTGAGATAAAGTTAGACCAATCATAATCATCCTTATCATCATCATCAGAATTGTAATACAAGTTTTGATATCAATTCAAAATTGGTTTAGTGTTGATTCTGGTATGAAAATTTGACATTTATTAAAATAAAATATCACAACGGTTAATATGAATAATCGTTATTATAAGGTGCACGCTTTCCAGTTTACTACGACGGTCATTGAACCTTGATTGTAATTACCGAATATACAATCACACGCTATATAATAACGAATGGTCCCGCATGGTTATTTATATTTCCCAACCGTTGTTAAATGTTTTTTCCGTAGTAGTGTGAGTAGAAAAATTATGATTTTATAGTGTTCATGATACCTCTACAAACCCTGACAACCTTTAGAAAATGCTCATGATCAATTGGCATTGATTTGGAAAAGGTATGATGAAAGTGTTCAAGGAAAATGTGTGAAAATGGCTCAGAATTTTTCAATAAATGGTAGAGGAAAATCGATTTGCTCAGTGAAGGAAAAAATTTCCATGCCTGCAATGTTCAAAACATTTTAAAAAAATAAACTAGCTAAATTGATTTACCTAAGGGGGAAATCAATTTCCCTTCATGGTTTCTTAAAAAATTTGTTTGGCAGAGACGAAGAAAATCAATTTCTTCCAAAAGGAAAATTGATTTCCCAAGTCAAAAACACAAAATTTGATTAAGTTAAAATTCATATTTAAAAGTGAATCATGTAACACATTTTGCCAAACTTTTGAAGGTATCATATGAATATTGTGAGCACCTACAACTTATAAATAATGAATTGAAACATTGTACCTTAGCATAAACACCATATCTTTATTAGGATCAATCTTATGACAATGAAGCTTTTGTTGGGAAAATAACAACAACAAAAAAAATAAATTTTTACACTAGTGGAAGCATACCCACAAAAGAAGAAAAACTTAAAAATTCAAAAATAAAAATCACAAAATCATAATTCAACTGATAATTTTTATCAGGACAAAATTATAAACCCTCCCAAACAATTGCAAATTTTAAAGAGAAAATTATAAACCCTCCAAACTGCAATTTTTAAGGAGAAACTGCAATTTTTAAGGAGAAAATTGCAAATCCTCTTTCAATTGCAACTTTTGAACGGAAAAAATTGCAAACCCTCTCTCATTTGTAATTTTAGGACGGAAAAACTGCAAACACTCTCCCAACTACAATTTTTGAACGGAAAAATTGCAAACCTTAGACACACAACTACCCAAATCCCCAATACACCCAAAAGACTACACTTTGTTGTTGTGTTAAAACTCAAACTAATCATTTCTATTTATATTAATACTTAAATTTTATTTTCTTCCTACTACCCGATGTGGAACTTGGATGAATATATTATTTAACCCAACAAATTCTGCCTTCATCCAAAGTCTCACATATCTTCGCTTTATCTTCAACCTCATCTTCAAAGGGATCATTATAATTATAATGAATAGTCATACGTTTGATCAGAATTTTTTATGACTGTTCCTTCTTCCCTTGGTCAAAACCTTAGCTCTGATACCAATTGTTGAGAAAATAACAAAAAAAAAATTTCTACACTGACGAAAGCATACCCACAAAAGAAGAAAAATATAAAAATTAAAAAATGAAACTCACAAAATCATAATTCAACTTGTAATTTTTATCAGGACAAAATTACAAAGTCTCCCAAACAATTGCAAATTTTAAGGAGAAAATTATAAACTCTCCAAACTGTAATTTTTAAGGAGAAAATTACAAACCCTACAATTTACAATTTTTAAGGAGAAAATTGTAACCCTATAATTTGCAATTTTTAAGGAGAAAATTACAAACCCTCTTTCAATTGCAACTTTTGAACGTAAAAAATTGCAAACCCTCTCTCAATTGCAATTTTGGGACACAAAAATTGAAAACCCTCTCTCAACTACACTTTTTGAAAGGAAAAATTACAAACTTTCTCAAAAAAATTATTTTTGAACGGAAAAATAGAAAAACCTCCCTAGACACACAACTACCCAAAAGACTGTATTTTGTTGTTGTGTTAAAACTCAAACTAACTATATTTATTTATATTAATACTTAAATTATATTTTCTTCCTACTACCCGATAGGGAGTTTGAATGAATATATTATTTAACCCAACAACTTTTTGTACTTTGATTATTTGAAAATCCTTCAAACTTTTCCTTATTTTTAATTACTTGTCTTCATCATATAAAATGAGGCTGGTGGTTTCATAGAGATGTATAAAGAAATATTAGTTGCCAAAAGATATAACGCAACCAGAGGAATTGGATTTTTTTGACACTTCTCAATAGTGGCAAAACTGTTAACAATAAGAATTTTGTTTGCAATAACTTCTATTAAAAAATGACATTTGCATCGGTTCAATATGAATAATTCCTTTTTACATGGATATTTAGAAGAAGATGTTTACATGAATTGACCTCAAGGATTCAAATGTACCAAGACAAATTAGGTGTGCAAATTAGTAAAGCACTTATATGGTTTGGAGCAAGCAAGTAAAAGTTTGTATGAGAATATGAGTTCCTTGCTCCTACGGTTAGGATGTACTCAATCAAACTTTACATGTGTGTTATTTACCATGCTTAAACTTGAAGGAGGATGTTAAAACTATGATGACATGACTTGGAAGTAAGAATACTTGTGAAATAATCAAAAGTCTTATTTAAACTTTTTTTCTTCTTTTCAACTCATTTTAAATAATGCTAACTATGTTGTAACAATCAAAATTTTATGTGATACGAGTGTTTTTCGGCCAAGTGATTTATGCATGATACAAAGTTAGCCTAGAAAAGAATATATGTTGAACTTGAAGTCAGAATATTTCTTTGGTATCCTCTATTTATATTACTTCTGTTATTACAATTTACACTATTGTATAGTACATATTCGAAAAAAGGAAAACTCTAATACCTAAGCAGTATAAGAAAGAAACACAAGTATTGTATCTTGAAGCCTACTGCTAGATTACTTCAGGTATGCTTTTCAATACTGGTTTCCACTCTCCTAGAGAATCATCATCGTCCATTCCTTTTTCACCTTTTTCACCATGAGCAAGAGATAACATCTTGTCAACTGAAATCCCTCCATTATCCAACATATCTTGTAATTTTTGCTTACTAATAACAAGCTTAATCCTAACAACACTACTTTTATGTACATCTTGGACTTCTGGATTTGCAAACCTCACCTTCTTGACCTCTTTAGGTGATGCTGGTGGTGGAAGTGGCAAAACCTCTTCAACTTTGATTGGTGTTTTGTATTCAAGAACTTTTCCATCGGTTTTCATGATCTTCATCACATTAATTTGTTGTAGCACCAAGCAATTTCCCATGTTTTTTTCTTTAGTGGGTTTGCTTGATAGAAAAATATGATATAGTTTATTTGTAAGTGAATTAGTAGCAATTGTTTTGTGCAATATATAACCTACTTGGTTATTGAAAATGCCCTTGTGGTATTGGAAATATTACAAAAAGACCTAATTTTGTTTTATTTTGAAGTGTGGAATAGTTGTGAAGTGAATGAAGTTGGAGTCAACAAGTCATTATCTTGGGCGGTTGTAGTGTTGGGAGAGTGAGTGGTTTATGGCCCGAATGTATCATTGTCATAATAAGAGCATGTTGGATGGCGTGGGGCCCTTAAAAGCTCAAGTGGTTGACTACTTGTGTTGTGTGCACCAAAAAGATTTTGTTGTGTTGACAAGTCATATGCCACATTGATTATCTGATCCCCTAATTCACCTATCCTAGGGGGTAAATTTTTAGAAGTAGGAGAAATATTGAATTTGTCCCTTAACTTACTTTTTTTGGTTTAACTTTTTTTTTTTGGTCTCATAATTTTATTTGTATTAATCATGTTAATTTTTTCTATTAGCTTATTGTCAAAATATTGATTTAAACATGTTTATCATAAAACACGTCAACATAATTCACAAATAAAAAATATATTAAAATATATTTTATTTTCGTTAAATCAATTCAATTGAAATTTATGTAAGATATCAGATCTAGGTCGCACACATCATTATAACTTAAATATTTTTAATGTGACAATGAAAATATCACAATCATCCAAATCAAATTTTAATAGCTCAAAACACATCCCATATATCCTCTAAAAATTTGTTATTATTACCTCTTTACCAACACCTATATTTTTCACTATCTCAAATCAATCCACTGATCAAAATCTTTCCCCCCGCAAACTAAACAATTTCACCATAAATCTCACCTCAATTTTTTCAAATGACCCGAACATAACATGAAAAATTTTAAGCCTCACGCCCTATTCAATCACCATACATACTTGCACCCAATTTCATCTCTCTTTTACCTATCAATCTAATTAGTGTATTAAATGATCATAACTAAAAAATAACCATGCAAGAGGAATATATTTTCTTATTGAAAATAAGAAGAAATTTGATATCTCTTTTGAACGATATAAAGCTCATTTTGTAGATAATAATGTTAATTAATAAATCGATGTAGGTTGTGGTGAAATTTTCAATCCGGTAAAAACATAGATTTAGAAACCCCTCAATAGGATTAAAGATCAATTGTTTAGATGGAGAGTTTTGACGGATAGAAACTGCGTCTTTTACTTTAAGAAAGATGAATCAATCTCACATCTTTTCAGGCTTTGTATGTACTCAGACAAAATTTGGAATAAAGTTTTTGATTGGATAGAAAGCCGGCTGGAAATATTGTTGAGGGAGTTTGTGAGTTTCTTTTTCCAATGTGAGAAGGTGAAGAGCAAGATGAAGAGGACAATTGTCGTCGTGATATGACTCGCAAAAGTTTAAAGTATTTGATTGATGTATAATACCGTTATTATGGAAAGAGTTGTTTTCCATTTTGATGAGTGTATACCAGAGATTTTACTTAGGTCGTGGACTTGGTTGAGTTTCTTTTGTAAAACCGTTGATTATTGTAATTTTTCTATTTAAAATACTCTACCACTCACATATTTTAGGAGGTAGGAGTTTTCTGAATTGTAGTTTTGGGTGGAGTATTTCTTATACTCCATTTTAATAAAATGATTGTCTATAAAAAAAAAACACCTCATTTTAATTAAATAATCTCTATTTTTATTATAAACAAATTTTAACTTTTTATATTCATTGAAAATGAATATAAAAAAAAAACTAAAATTGGTTTAAAATAAGGAACAATATTTTTTTTTACCACTCTATAATTATATCTTGGTCCCCGTTTATGACAAGAGTAGGTGGTGGTAAGGTGTAGTTATTTTTGTTGATTGGTGCATTTGTGCTATTGAATGCATAAAGCCATGCTTTGCTAATTTGACTACCGTTTAGTTTTTGTATATAACTTTGTTTTGAACTCTTTAGATTACATCATGGAATCCTCATTTTAAATATGAAGTTCAAGCTATATCCTCTCTTTATCTTCTTTTTTACTAAATGGTGATAAGGATACGTTTCACAAATGTTGCTTTCTGTTTTTTCGCAAATATACTCTAGCAGTGTCGTTATATAGGCTAGTGGTGGTCCAATTGAGAAAATATAAAACGAGTTAATTTAGTCATCATCAAGATTTAAAAAGATGCAATTGGGTAGAGTGCAAATTGCATTTTAACACTAAAAGTTTGATGGCAAAACAGCAATTTGATAAACCTGGATTGAAGCTTAGCTATTGGTAGCTCTTGAGAGAAAAAAATATAATACTGTATATATTTAATGAAACGCAAAGAAGATAAAAATAATTATTGGAAGACTACTTGTTGGAGAAAAGAAAGGCCTATACTGGTGGCTGATGCTATCAATACGCATGCTTTGTGCTAGCTTTGGAATATAATTAATGAAACTTCTTGCATTGTTAATTTTAGTGGGGTTAGGAAACACAACTAAGCAATGAAATAGTCCATTGCACAAAACCAAGAAAATGCATTTCTCTTTCTAGTCTATTTATAATATATTAAAATAGTCTCCATAATAGATCTTTTGTAACACCATAATATAACGGATGATTTGTTAATCATAATAATAATTTATTTGTAGATGTTTTTTTATTTTTGTTGTTATTTACTAAAATATATTTGATTAAGGTTAATATTAACAATCGTGGTGAAATATAAATGGAGTATAAGGATTGTGGAACCTTGTTTCATAAGTAATAGAGTTTTAATCAAGACATCATCTTTTAATGATGACAACTAAAAACAACTTATGATGAGACAAGCACAACACTTAACTAGTTAAAGATACAAATTTAGGTGTTATGGTTTGATAAATTTGACAATCTGAAGAAGACAAAACAAAGGGAAGAAAACCTAAGTATTATGATTTGATGAACTATCCGGAAGACAAGAAATGTGAAAAGTATCTAAAGCCTCAAGTAATCTCAAGCAGTGTCAATACAAAGACATTATCTAACAAAGGGCTTGTTGGAAAGGAGTTAATCCACTACAAAAAAAAGCTTGATCAGCTAGAGGATTTAGTGAAGTGAATCACCCATCACTAAATTTTGAAGTTGCTTGGGATAAACCCCATCGCAAATGACAAAACAAAAAAACAAAATTAAAAAGATATTTAGTGATGGGATCCCCTCGCAAATAAAATAGGAGAGATTTTTAAATTTTGAAATGTTACCGCTCTGCATTATGCAAGGGGCTTAACCTCACAAAACAAGACTATAGCATATGCGTGGGAATATTCCTCGCAATTTTCAGTCACACTATCTCACGCACTGCTTCGTGTGCTAGGCCTGCAATGGCTTTAAAGATTCTATGGAAAAGTTATTTTAAGATTGGGAGGGACAACCCCAAACAACATGTGAACGTTAAACACGAGTGGGGAGCCCCCTCACAAATAGTTACATATTTCTCCATCCATCGCTTAAACATCTGCAGACGTGTCAGTTGTGTCTGAAAAGTTATTTATATTTTGCGAATAGGTTACCCCACACAATTTGTTATTGTTGCTGACGCGTAGAAAGTCCCTTTGTCAATTGTTTTATTTAATACGCTCCAACCATTCATTCTCCTTCGATCACCAACATTTCTTTCTCTCTACAAAATTTGTCTTTCTCTCTAACGTTCATTTCTCTTTACCAAATCCTCAATACATTTCATCTCTGCAAAATTTTGAAGGTACTTATCTTATATTTTATAATTTATTTTATATCTAATTTATATATTTTAGTTTATATACAATATTTATTATTAATTAATATGTTACCTTCGTTTTCTGATTTTATATACATTTTTATCATCTATAGCAATCAAAGAGTTCAAATTCAAACTGTGTGTTCATCTAAGATATATTTTTTATTTTTCTAAATTTTACTTATATTTATTTAATGAGTGTTGTTTAGTATTAAAGTTGTATATGCATAATTATTTTTTGTTTAAATTTTTTACTGATATTTTATGTATTTATAATTATTATTATATTAAAAACAAGTTAAAAAATATTTTATGAAAAATAGTATTATTTTTATAAAATGGTTTTTTAATTATACCATTTAAAAAAATAGTTAGGTAATTAATATATTTTATTATGAAAACTATATTAATTTTAAAAAAAATGATATTATGAAAACAATTTAAAAATAATAGTATTTAAAAAAAAATTTAAAAATTGTATTATTTTTAAAAACGAATTTTTTTAATAAATATTATTTGAAAAATAATTTTATAAAAAATAGTATAAAACTGTTATAAAACAGATTTATAAAATCGTATTATTTTTTAATACAATTTTTTTAATAAATAATTTTTAATAACAGTTTTATAAAAACAATATAAAACAATATATTTTTTAAAAAAATATAATAGAAATTATAATATTTTGAAAACTAAAAAATTGACATAAAAAATATATTACATAGTGTTATGAAATGTTTTTTTTTAAATATGATCTTACCTGATCAGACTTGGACCGTCACGACTGGCTCCGAGCGAAAGTTGAACGGGATGGAGGGTACCTGCAAGGCACTCCGCTGCTAAAATGAGTGATGATACGAGCAGGTAAAAAGTGTATGTATGGGTAAGAGAATGAATACCTGACCCTCTAGGAATAGAGGGTATTTATAGCCCCCAGCGCGGAGCCAAGATCCCTTCATTGGGTCGACCAGGACTGGCCCAATAAAGAAACTGTCAGGTTCTACGTGTGTAGTGGGGACTCGCACGTGGTCCCCTTCCTGGTGATGCTCAGCGAGAAGTACGGAGGGACGAGGACGCGGTCTTTCTGGAGTTCAGGTGATGGAGTAACGGTAATAGTCTGCCCTACGAGGAGGGTGCTCGAGCTGGGCTCGAGCTGGATTTCATGTGGTCGAGGACGTCGTGTTCGCGGGCAGCGGCGGGCACGAC